CTATCGATAAGAATTATCGATAGTTATCAAATATTTGATAGTAATCGCTACTTATCTATATTCAAAATTTCCTGATGCTGTATGAAGTTTAGATTTAGGACGTTAGTATTAGAGATTATGCCAACAAATAGGTGCTCATTATATGTAAAATTTCGTTCCCGTCATTTTTAATCAGTGCTCAAAGGCCAATTTAGACATTAGTTTTCTTCTTTTTCACGTGTTCAAATCTATGTCGGGCTGACTCGGAATAATTAAAAATTGTGCACAAATTTTGACTATTCCAGATCAGCCTGACATAGATTCCGAACACATGCGAAAGAAGAAAAAAGAAAGCAAAGATACTCGAAAACCAATGATGAACTTAATTAAATAATTATGCTCATTTATGAAGATTCTTAAAATCTCTCTTTCGTTTTGATCGCGGCTTCGATGTTCATTTTAGGGATGGCAAATGTTTTAAAAACTCGATCTTAAAAATCACGATTGTTTGATCTAAATCTGTTAAAAATACATTACGACGTAATATGATCCGATTATGTAATTTAAATGTATACCCCTGTTAAAAGAAATCCGGTTAAACTTTACAAAGTTGCTGAACCTGATAAACATGATCGAACAACACTCGCCAAAAATGTAATTATTGAAGACTGTGTTGATTTAGTTAAACGATAAAAGGTCATTTATTAAAACGTAAAAACTTCAAAGAAATATAGAAGATCTATTAAAAGCTCAAAAACAGGATTCTGGTTCAAATAATTCATTCACGAGAACTTATTCAATGAGATTTTACATAGGGTAATAATGTAAACTTTGGACTTTCAATGAAATGTTATTAGCTGATAACAAATTCCGCATTAAAAATGTAATAGCTTTAATAAAAATTAAAGAGATCAATATAAAAATTTTTGTAATATCTAATAATTCGAATTTATCTTTTTTTTTCCTGCTGAAAATTAAAATTAACCAATCTGAGGCAATGTTTTCAGTTTCAGCAAAATTTTAGCAATGTTTTAAAAAAAAGGGTTAACCCAATAAAACACGTTTTAACCCGTTTTTTTTTACCATCCCTAGTTCATTTTAAGAGTGAAAGTTAACAAGAAGCACTAATTTTAAATGAAGTTAACAACAAACACTAACTTTATTTTTATACTCAGATTATTAACACGTTATTGTTTACAATTTAATCGCAAGGAATTAATTGACTTAGGGTGTTCTCAAGCACCTTAATCAACCCGTCGGAACGGGTCTGAAAGTAAATTTTTATTAGTAAAAAAAAAAAGTTTAACGAATCAATTATTCTCAATGAATAAAACACGTAACGAAAGTTTAATACGTCAGAAAGAAAATATTATTAGCGGAAGTTCGTTTAACTGACCAAGGGTATTTATCATTCCAATCAACAAGAGATAGAGCCTTTTTTTACATAGTTGCACTTATTGGTCGAAATTTTTCATTGATTGATTCATATGGGCGGATTTTGTGATATCTAAGTAAGTTCACATTAAAAAAATAAGTGATGTAATAATATTAATTTCAGCTTATTTGATGATACTGTATTTAAATAATTAGTACAGAAATAGTAATGATTTGATCAACCGTTTGCTACGTATACACACGTAACGGTAACGGTAATGTTTTTAAGATCTATTTAAAGTTAGATTCTTCATTGTTTATATCGAAGATGAAAACTTTCCATTTTTGTTAACTGCAACGAACTTCCTTTTTTGTTAACATCAAACATAATATTTGCAGCAAGGGATTTAAGCTAATTATGCAATTACACAACCGCCATTTAATAAACGTGTATATATCGTACTCAGATTGGAATCGTTCAGGGACAGTCGCAGATGAGAATTTCATAAATTATTTCGGCAAGATTAAAATTTAGAGATAGAATTATGGATAGATTAAAGGTTTGAAAAAAATTTTTTTTTAATTTTAGTTATTTTTAGTATAATTTACAGAAATTCTCATTTGAGACTGTTCCGATTCTGAGTCGGGACGATTCAATCTTCATGTCTATATACATATATACATTTCAGATATACTGTATACATGATTTTTGCGTATCTGGTATGTACGTGCTGTACGTATATGAGGGACGGAAAGAGAAAACCTGTAAATTGATCCTGCAATGATTACATATGATCAAATACATATACGAGTGATCGCTTCGATACCACGCGTCAGTATTGCTTAGTACCAAACAGATCTAAAATGCCTAAAAACTAATAACGTAAAGATTAAATTTTTCAAAGGCCGAGCCCGATAAGATGAAAAGTAGCGAATCAATTAATGTGGCAATATTTTTGATTACAGCATATAAACAATACGATTAATAAAGTGATATTAATATTAGTGATTAACTAAAAAATTTACTGTTGGATCATTATACTAATTTAGTAATTTGAAAAACCATGTGTAACATTTACATTTAAACTGGCTTACTTTGAGACACTAGATGCAATATAATGTCCGGAGTAAAGCGAAGAATAATTAATCATTAATAATAAAAATAATTAATACCTAAAATTCGTACACCATATGTTACAGTTATGTAGTGTAATTAAGTACAAGTACGCGCACAATATTGAATGGACTATTTTTTATTGTTTTGTATTGCATATTTTGAATGTTTTGATAATCCGACTGATAGAACTGAAATAGTGTAAAAAAAAAAAAAAATTCATTTGCAAAAATCGCGCAAATCTCTTAGTTAAAGTTTTTAAAGTTTTTCGATAACTGACTTTAATCCAAACCAGACATTAATGGAATGTTTATTGTTTACAACGAACTTTACGCCCTGTCGAAATTGGGAAACTATAAATTTATTGGTGCTTGCTAGTAAGAATCCGTAATTATCATTCTCGAACCTAGTATTACCATTCAGGTATTGCCATTTAAAGTTAGTTTCTTCATTGTTTACTGATAATGAAAACGTTTATGTTCTTTTACTAAACATCAAACATAACTGCAGCAATGAATGATGAATGATGAATACTTTAAAAGCTATTGTGAAAGAAAGCGTTTATGCACCAATAACTTCTACGTTAGTATCAAAAATAAAATATTGTGTCGCCATTTTTATATAGTAAAATAAACATATATACATTATTATCATTATGAAAAATGGAATTAATTTGTCAAAATAATATATGTATATATATGTAAAATTCCCGTGTAACATGCTACTCAACATTCAATTGTGTAATATTTCAATAATGTATCCATCCAACTTTCAGACTTTGTATTTCTGAGAAAAATTATTACTACGCGCACTATATTCGATGAATGGCATCAGACTTTGTTACTTCGATTTCTCTGTTGAGATCCGTGTACCTGAGGTACTTTTATATAAGGGTACAGAGACAGGTTTTCTATATCTACCTAATATGATACATAAATTACCGCCTAATTCTTAAAACTGGTGATATTTATGGCAGTTTTAGGATTATCGTTAGAACGTTCGGAATTCCGGTGATTTTTTGTTGCATACAATTGTTAGCTTTTAACTAATTCCATACGCTTCATTATACCTTTAAGTATCGAAAACACGAGAGAATTTACCGAATTTCAAATATTTATTTACGTAATGTAGTAAGTAGATTATGACAATTAACATTTAATGATAAGTAATTGCGTGAAATGGTAATTACTATATTTAGTGATTTCTCCTGTCGGTTTCTTCAGATATAAAATTGAACTCATATAAAAGTAAATACAGAAATAATAGATTGTAAATGGTTTTAATGAAAGTAAGTACATTCCTTTGGCATATTATAAAATACAGTATATCTAAATTGCAGCGCCAACGATTTAAAATTGTGGCATTCGATTTTACTGCTAACAAATACTGTATATTATTAACGGAGTTTTAATTCCGTAGTTTTTTTTTTTAATTCTACACAATTGATATTTCCTTGTAAGAACGAACATAGTGAGAACAAAGGAATATTGTAGAATTTCCAAATATACGCTCGGAAATAAATATCCGTACGAAAAAAATATATATTATAGTGTTTTATAACAGAACTATAGCTCTTTCTTTTTTGTGTTTTTTTTTATAAACTATGATATAAATAATAAACTATGATATAAATAATAGCCTATAATTTATAAAAATAACTATACACCAAAATAAAGACATTTTGAACCACAGTGAAAACGAAGCCTAGAAAATTATAAGAAAATGATCAGTTTCGTATTTATAAGTGCGTAGTGTGCATGTTTGATATTAAAATGTAACTTATAGATAAACAACTTGCCTAATTATTTAGTTGCCCATGCGATCTAAATAGGATCCATCATTTGCGTTGGTCATATCGATATTACTATACTGACTTCTTGTAATATTCTTTTGGTCATCTCTAATTAGTGTGGAATTTTCTATTGTATTTTATAAAAGGTTAATAAAATGGATTGATTTAGGATACGTAGTAAGAATGTAGCATTGATCACCATGATTATATGTGTGAATTAAGTAACCGAACGGTGAATTGCCTGGATATCTCATTTCGTTAAAGACTGGAGGATCACCTGTGTTACAAGTGTGCATAATAAGTATATGATAGATGTAAAACATAATGAATCAGATAGAAAAAAGAGTGTTGACAATCGCACATACGTGTGCTGAGTGTACAATCATAAGAACCATCGTTGGGCCATTCTTCTAGGTTGAGGTTAGTTTCAGAAGAACTATAGCAAGATAAATGCTGACTCGGTGATTCATTAGTTGGTTTTCTTGAAGGGCCGGAAGGAGTGCAAGTATTATAAGATAAGTGCTGACTAGGTTGTTTAGTAGTTGGAGATAAATTTATATCCTTTTGTTTCCCCGAGGGATTGGAAGGAGTAGGATATTTGCTTGGGCGAGATACTAATCTTTTTGTACCTTGTCTTCTAGAAGACTGTCTATTTTGACGACGCAAACGATTACTGATAAGTTTTTTAATTTCCTGATAGTGTCTATTCTTAAGTTTTTCACGTTCATTATCATATCTTCGCTTAAGTTCTTTACGTTCATAATCGTATTTATTCTCGAGCTCTTTATATTCGTCACCATGCCTACTCTGAATTTTTTCAAATTCGTCTTCAAATTCAATGTGAGCCTTCATTTTTTCGGCTGTATACATATTATTTTCGTGAAACTGGAATATTGATTCGGACATGGTATTGGTCTGATTTACCCCTGCCATAACGAAATAAAAGAACGAGAGCGAATATATAGAGGATACCCTTCGCAATATATTAAATATTCGATTCTTTCTAATTTATTCTCCTCGATGTTTGAGAAAAGAGACAAAAACAGAAGTGTACTGTACTATAAAATCGGAATTTAATTTAATTGCATGTTTAAGCAGATCATAAAATAATAGACATTAATAAAAAAAAAAAAAACGATAGTGTTATGCTAAATCAAGTAATGGTATTATATTTATTTATTTATTTATTTCATTCAAACGTTCAACAATAAATACAGAGATAGTAATGATGCAGAAATAGTAATGATGATTCGACCCGTTTTTTTCTTAACGCCCTGTCAAAAATTGGAAACTGTTTTTTGTTTGTGAATCCATACAATAATAGTGCCTGTCTAAATCAAATTTATTGGATCTTACTAGCGCTATCGCTAATAATGAGCCCGTAATTCCCGTAATTTTGGTTCTAATGTTAACAGCTCGTCTTCTAAACGTATATTCTTATTAATAGTTAAGAGATTCAATTCAAATACTACAGGATTATCAAAAATTATCTACGTAGCACTAGTGGTTTTAAGATCTATTTAAAGTTACTTTTTTCTTTTTCATTGTTAATCAAAATTAAAACCTCCTTTTTTTGCTAATTCCTCTTTTGCTACGTAGTAACAAACATAGCGGCAATGTATACCGCCAACTTGGTCATACTAATTATGTAATTACGTGAAGAAAATAAATATTATATATATAAAATAAAAAGCATATACGTACGTACGTATGTATACGCACCCAGATCGGAATCGTCTCGGGATGAGAATTGACTGAATTTGGACGATTCCATAACATAGTGGTATGTATATATACGTACGTATATGCATATTTGTATACATGTGATATTTGCGGCTGTACATGTACGTACGTACTTTATATGAAAGGTGAAAAGGGAAACCTGTTAATTGATTAATGAACTCGGCTTCTGTAAAATTGATCCTGCAATGATTACATATGATCAAATACATATACAGGTGATCGTTTCGATAACACGCATTGATATTGCTTTGCTTAGTTACCAAATATATAGTTTTAAAAAAAGATGTCATTAAGAACTAATCATATGGGATTGGATTTTCCAAGGCCGAGTCCGATACGTAAGATGAAAAGTAATGTTACGATATATATTTTTTCATTACAGTATTATTAATATACCAATACAGTATGTATGCTATATACGTAAAATGTACAGCTTAAATTTGGAAAAATATGTATGTATATAAACAACGCCGATCACATTTAGATATTTCTGAAAAAGTCGCAAAACTGGTTTACTGTTTGGGACACTATATGTGCGAATTTATGTCAATTTCAGTAACCCTTTACTCCAGACATTATGTATAGGAATTGTATGTAAGGCTATAAAGGCCATAGTTTATTGGTATATGTAAGTACAGGTACGTACGTTTATAGCACAGTATATATCTGGTATATACTGAATATATTATTATAATTAATGTTTAAGTTGTATTATTTTTATTATTTTTTATTGGTTGAATTGCATATTTTAATAATCCGACTGGCAGGATCTGGAGTAGTGTAATAAAAAAACCGCGCTTATCTTTTGGTTAAAATTTTCCGAGCACTCATTTAAACCCGAGTCCAGATATAAATAAAATGTTTGTTTTATAACGATCTTTACGTCCTGTCAAAAATGGAAACTGCTGCTTATTTGTGAATCCACGCAATAGTGCTCGCTTATAAATACAAATTTGTTGATGCTTACTAGATAAAACTTGTAATTTTGGCTCATATTATGACTCATGTTTAACAACTGATTATACGTATAGCCTTATTAAGAGGTTTAATTCAAATATTACGACGTAAATAATATATTCTCAAAAATCATCTAGCATTGATTTATTAAAGTTAGTATCTTCATTGTTTTCCGATAATGAAAACTTTCTTTGCTAACATCAATATAACTGCAGCAATGGAAAGCTATCGTGAAAAGAAAGCATTTATGCACCAATAACTACTACTTTAGTGTCAAAAATGAAATATTACAGTAAGGAAATTTTGTAAACAGATTATACTGATAACAAATAGCTAATCGATTACAATCGATTAGTTTTAAACAATTATTATCGGTAGTGGTGTTAAGAATAGATTTAGCTACAAATATCAAATTTAATCTTTAATCGATAATATATGATTACAATCGCGATTATCAATTTTTATCTACGTATATATCTTGATTTTTATCAACGAGGTGTTAATCGATTAGCAACTCTAAATAGCAATCAATGCCAGTTTAAAGGTGTAGATGCAGCTTATTAGTTTACCAACCCGGTTTATCATCGCAATAGTTACATATTTGACATTTATTGAGAATTATTGTAATAATTACCTGTTACAGATTTTGGATTATACCAATTCACAGGTAACCAAACAAAAACGTTTAAACGGACGAACTCTGGATTAGCACTAATATATAAATATATAAATAAATATATAAATATATAAATAAATATATAAATATATAAATAAATATATAAATATATAAATAAATATATAAATATATAA